GGGCACGAGTTTATTTACGGCTAACTGGTAATTCAGGCCTGTGCGCTACACATGCCAGAAAGGCTAATTACGCAATGACAGAAATTACATGGGTAAGGTGAATTTCTTACGTCTGTTTTTATAATCTAATCAGATTGAGCTTGCCAGGAAGAAGTGAAATGGACGTCAAATACACACTGGATAAGCTGGATTTCTAGACAAGGACCCCCTCTGGGTATACGTTAAGATCTTGGAGATAAGAGTGTGACATATTCTTTTCAGGAGATTAATTAATTTCTTAAATAGGCAACTGACAATGATCAAATTACAAATATCAGATTCTGAGGTTTGGGAATCAAAATAATCTAACTATAGTAGCAATTGGAAACTCATGGCTATCCCCAAGGACGATATCACGGGATGTCATTCGTACTGGCAGACTCGACACTCACTCACTCACTCGCTTGACAAGTGTTAAGGCCCGTCCACAGATCGAGCAGTGCCCGGCCGGCACGCGCTAAATGCCCGTTATCGGGCAAAATTGGCGGGCAAACTAGCAGTGCCTATGCCCGTCGTTGAGCAAAGTCATGGTCTGCCTGTCTGGTGGTTTGCTGCCGGATATGGAGCTCACTCTAGTCCCATAGCTTCCTGTCTATGCATATCATAATTCTAACATTATTCAATGAATTTTTATGTACTACAAATCTCACCTGCAAGTAATCTTCCTTGAGTACTTCATACATGACTTGACAAGTTGCATGTATTATGCGAGACAAACTTTGTTTTGATATCCTTGTTCTATACTGAAGTGACGTGTAGGTGCACCCAGTTGAAAGATATGAGCGTTGCATCTAGACGAGCCTCTGCAGATATACTCTCCCTCATATTGGTATCCTGTTTTTTTTATATATGGTTCCACTTTTGCTAGAAGTTTGTAAAACTTGTTGGGGTCCATTCTCATGTAATTGGTGAAGTCTTGCTCATGTCCATCTAGCAGTTCACATAAAATCGTGGCATGACTTCCCAATACTTTTCTTCGACCTAACCACTCTTTGCACCATTCCCTTTTCTGCATTTGGTTCTTCTTTTTGCACATAGCAGCAATTAATATAGTACACAACGCTATGCTCTTCGCTTTAACTGTCTGGCGATTATTCCTGCGACACACCATGGTGATCGTACCGCACCCGCCACTGCCGACCACCTACTAGCTACCGGCGCCCCTCTATGACTGCCGCCAACCACCCCCGTGTGTACAACAACACACAGGCTTTGCCCGGTAAACAGGCAAAGCCTGCCAGGCACTACTCGATCGTGTGGACGGGGCTTTACTAACAATAAAGACAGTTGAAGCTTTCAACATCGCTTGCAAAGGATCTTGAATGCTTTAACTGTAATCAGACATACTTAAGTCGACTCAAAACAATGGTGCTCTCTCTCTCGCATTCAAATTTACTTTATAAGAGTTTGGTTTCAGGAAGTTGGATAAAATGGATGGCACCTAAGCTAAGGAAAACACATTTCTTCCTAGGGATAACTCCCCAGTTATCCACTTGTTTTGCGGGCGTGAAGCGTAATATGAATCCTCAGGTTTCAAACAGACCAGCAGTGCCATTGTGACCATGACAGTGTGACAGTCTGGTGAGGGATATGTATTGTGTGACAGAAGCAGACCGTGTACACACACACACACACACACGTTGAAAGATCGTGTGTTGTATAAACTGTGAGTTACAACCCTCTCGTAGAGCATCACAACACCTAATAGAGGCTCACCTGGGATACCTTCAGTATGTAGGAAGAATTAATCCGAAGGGTAACAGCTTCAAGTTGTTAATGTGAGAAATTTATGTAGGAATAAATTCATAAAATACACATTGAATCCTACTTTGAGAGAAAGTTTATGACAGCCATGGGAAAAATTTATCAATCAGAACAGATATAATTAGTTTACGTATTATTCATTTACTCTCTACATACGTCAGTTATTTACACCCCTCCCCACAACATGCATGCCATCTTTGTGTCTGTCCGTGTGTCGAGAAGTTGTCAACAATATTACCTGAACAACTGACGATAGATGCGATGCAACTTTGGCATGTGGCTGTTTCTCAACAAGATATGACATACTGTATTCAATAATCGGTATTGTGTTAAGTCCGTTCACAGTGATGGCCTCTTGTATTTGTTTATAATGTATACAAGAGAACTTGATCACCTTGCATAAACAAAAATTATATTTGTCCACAATCAGCTGTAAGCATGTTACTGAAGTTGGTTTCATGTACAAATATTGTATATATAGTACAGTACACCCATTGCCACTGTACAGTACTTACAATAGTCCAGGGAAATTAGGAAAAAAGTTGATCTAATTCATATCAAAGTTCCCAACCAATCTGGGGTGAGCTTTTGCTGCCATCTTGAAAAAATGGCAGCCGTTTGCAGTTTTCTGTGTTTTACTTGTTCACCGTTGATTTTAGGGATATGGCACTTAATATTAAAGAAGAAAAAAATCTGCACATGATGGTATATAATACTGTATTTTACTTTGTGTAAGATTAATAATTTATGAGAAAATAGTTTTACCTCCCCACTGGCCAAATACCCATTTCCTGTGCATATACACTGAGACCGATAGAAATCTGCAACAGGAAAGATCATGTGCCTTACTGGGTCATCTTGGCATTTTTGGGGATATCACACTAAGTAACAATGTGCAGTATATATCTATGTAAAGGTGTTTTAGCTGTATAAGTCCCCTACTTTAAAATTACACCTGTTAGAGCGGTAAATTTAATAGAGATGAAAAAATATTGGAAAAAAATAGGTGACAAATTTTTTTCTCATCATTCTTAGAAAAATCAAAACCATCAAATTAACAGAAATGATAATAATCAAATATAATGAATGATGTTAAATGTAAAAGGACACATCTAAAAGTATATTTTTTTTATATCTGGTCATGCTAATCTGATGGACATCTGGTGGACACTTCTGGGTGAACCATATGTCTGCCACTTGTCCACCAGATTTTATTCCAAAATAAATGAGCATGGAATCTAGGACACATGACATTTGTGATCTTTTCTGGGCAATTTTGTATCAAGATTTGTCATTTAATTTCGCTATTAAATCATTACTCTAATACGTCCCCACTCTTTGATATCACCATATTTTTTCATATTGGTCATTAAACCTGACAATTATCTCAAATGCTGACCATCTACTCTTTTGCTCACAGAAACCCCGATAAAAATATCAAGGCTTGTTCTTAAACAAGTGTGTCAGAAAATCGTCATTGAGTCTAGCTTTTGCTTCTGATCAAACAGGTTTATGGTGGCTTGACCCTCACAAGTCACAATGGCCAGATGGTCATTAAATTTTAAGTGAATATGTTGATATACCATACAGGAAATTAAGTCAAATGGCTCCAGGGATTTGGCAGGTATGTGGAAATATCAGTAATCATCTGAGGGTGTCTGAAGGCAGGTGTGTGAGGATGAGCAGGAATATGAGGTCTCTTAATTAAGGTCACAAGTATGCTAGTCAGGTCATCTGCACTACTTTAGCCAGAGGCACCTAAAAAGTTTTATGAAAGTCACATGAACACACACACCCACAAGCACCCTAGTGCATAAGCACACAAAAAAGTAACCCGTCTGCAGTGGTTTCCTTCCTCTTAACTCTAATATATATTGGGTTTTGTTTTGATGGCCACATTGCTTAAAATACTGTATGGAAAACATTTGCATTTTGAGGCAACCTCAATTTTTTTTCTTGACTAAGTTCTGAAACCTTTTAAGTGGTAAGTATCAGATTTGGAATACTTAGCCATGCCTTGGAATTACACGATATGCTTTATTACACTGGGATGATGTTGCCACAATAAAATGTTAAGTCAAAGTTGCAGGGTTAGTAAACCAAGTCTTTGGCCAATCAGCTTTGTACTACACCTGGCAATTGTAGTACATAGAATGAAGAAGAAAGGAAGCAGATGCATGTTCATTTGCTTAATGATCCTGAGCTGAATGTAAAATCTAAAGCAAATAACATTAGGGTGTTGACAATTGTTCATTTTCTTTGAAAACATTTGAGCTACAATGTGATGAGTTATGTACTGTACTAATAAGCTGTCACTTTATAAAGTTCTTTCAGTGAACAAGTTAGTCAAGTATGGACTGGCATTTATATATGTAAATAATTGACAAAAAATTCACTTGAATGTGAAAAAAAATAGTTTTCAATTGCACATATTTTTCCTATTATATTGTAGGGTTGCTGGACAAATGCTAACCTCTCGATTCTTAAGCCTTCAGCAGCTTATGGGTTACCCCATCCTCTTGGCAGGATGCTAAATCACTGAAGGCTTGTTCCATCATCAGCAAGTGCATAATACATCTGTAATATTTAGGCAGACAATTTATATTTTACATACAAACACAAAGGGACCAAGTAACAATTCCCCAAGACCTATTTCTGGTTTATACAGAATATAATTTTACAAACAAGGAACCCCTTTTTTTTAATATATATATATATATATATATATATATATATATATATATATATATATATATATATATATATATATATATATATATATATATATATATATATATATATATTGGGGTATGTTATAGCGAATGGATTCTACTACGAATATTCCTATAACGAACGGTTTTACCTGTAAAATTGAGAATGCTATAACGCGAACAGTATTTTTTTTTTTTTTTTTTACTAATTGTTTTTTATTACAAGTATTAATGATATATTCTTTATTTCAGGAGTTTAGATGCATATTTATGCACTTTTTTAAAATTTTTACAATTTTATATTATATTTTTCAGTATTAAGTAGTTGTATTTGGGGGCCTGGAACGGATTAATCCTATAACGAATGAATGCTATAACGAACGAATGCTATAACGAACAAGGTTCTAGAACCAGTTAGATTTGTTATAGCATACCCCACTGTATACTATTTACTTGTTAATTAAGGTGTACTGTATAAGAAAAAGCTTTTTCGTAATTTCTAAATTTATTCTGTTTCCTCTCAACATTTACTTACTACTTCCTCCATTTGCACACATCACTTCCCACATAAGGTGGAGTGTAGTACCAAGTGGATAGATCACTTGGCTTATGACACCATGGTTACTGGTTTGAGACCTATGGTACACTGAGTTGAGTACCCCCAGTTATCTCATCTGCAGAATGAATACCTAGTTTTATCGTGCCACCATTGAGAGATGGTAGAAAGTAAAGTTGACCACATTAAATACTGTACTTGCATACCAAAGACTTTGTCTTCAAGGTGTTGTTTCAAAATTGCCCCTGTGGCTTAGCATTAGGGGATCTACTTTCACAGCCAACATCATTATCAATATGAATTTATGAAAGACTATAAATATTCAACAAGTACAGGTAGTCCTGTGTGTAAAATACCGTATATAATACTGTATATGTATTGCTTTAAGGTAGTGTAATGCTAAAATATAAATATTTTAAATTAAATCATTAGATACTTAATAAAAATTAGAGCCATCAATGGAATGGTTTATTTCCCCCTAAGTTCAACTAAAACTGCTAGGGTTCATCAACTGTGTGTAACTAATGTGTGAAATTTGGTTGGGATGTGCCATTGGTTGAATACCACTTTTTTTATCAAGGGGCAGAGAGCACCATGATTGCAACCCCCAAGATCCTTTAAGTTTGAGGGATAAGGAGAGACAAGTTTTTTTTCATGCTTTTGCATTACTGTAGGAAAAGCAAGTGGTGCAGATGTAGTAATGTAACAACTTATTTACCATTTTGTTGGTATGAAGCAAGATATAAAATGTATTTCATAAATACTAATACTATACATGTATACCAAGTACAAATGAAGAGATGCTATACAAAAAAATAAAGTACTGCTTATTTAAAAATTGAAATACAAAAAGTATTCCAAACTAAATCAAAATCACAATGAATATATAAAAAACAATATTCAGGAAGGGGGTGTGAGGGTGGGCCTTTTAATCTTAAACCTTTTACCTGCTTTGTTTTATAAGTTCACACCACATTACGGAAGACCCAGTCAAAAATGGAAAACTGATATTTTTGTGTAAATCATAGAATTTTGATCCCCAAATTTATCTGTCCTCATGTGCACAAATAACATATAAAAATAATATTGAACATGAGATTCACATTCACTCACTTAATAATACAAAAATATTCTTATTCTCAACTGCTTCGAACAACCCAAGAAAGGTTTACTCCCGACATTGTGAGGTTGATATTTGCAATGCGTGAATGTTGTTGGTGGGTGACGTGGTGGATGAAGAGCAGCAGTGCATGGGTGAAGTTGTTCCGGCCACTACCAACCTCACATTCTTCATCCGGGGGCAGGACTATCTTCACGTGGGGTGGATTGATCTGTGGGCAAAAATGAATGACTAACAGCAATGCTTAAGTGTCACTGTTCCTCCCATTTAGTTAGGAAAGGTTTGGTGACTATAAAAAGTAATAGATGTATCTTTTACATACCCAAATGCTCTCCAAATATGTATTAGTACAGTATATTGTCTTCCCAAAACATTATAATTCCAACTACATTATATCAATAGCTCTTCATGATGCAAATAGTGAAACTTATCATGTTTCACTTTTCAGTATTAACCCCTTTCTATGCTGAATAAAATCGTCTGGCGTTAGCCAAATCAAATTTTAAGTGGTGCCACCATAGTGAAGGGGTTAATGTTTTACCTGACTAAGGTACAGCAGAGGCCGGGTGGTGGGCTTAACAGGTTTCTCTGGTGCCTTGATTACATGTGTGCTTGAGAACATGCGACCTTCCGGCTGTTGGATATCTGGTGGCAGTTGGCGATCCATGTACATTGCAAACAAGTGCAACAATATCTGAAAGAGGAAAGTATAGTAAGATTATTCTGCCTTACCTTTATTGCAATGTGAAGATATTGTAAGCTATGATTAAAGATGTTAGGTTAAGATTAGCTAATTGTGAAAATTGAGTTACTAGATTTGCACATTAGGAAATGATTAAATCTAAGCTGCAAACTGGGTTTAATTATAGGAAATAACTTATGTACAGGCAACCCTCACTCCCTCCCTCCATTTCTATGATCTAGTTAACCTAGATCAACTAAGTGGTCCCCACCAGTGGCTGACCAAAGGACTCAAAGCAGTGATGGTTGGGTCAGCAAATGAGTGGTGTAACCACTTACAAACCCTAACTCATACAATGTAGACAATGGAGAAAGTGTAAGCCAATCCCGCAATAATTAGTACACACAGCAGTATCAGTAGGGTATTCTTCCTTCCAAGGTTTGCTATTGAAAGTGGAGCTTCCTCCATTCCAACGGTATGCAGAAATAGCTCCACCCGCACTAAGCTCCCTGAGGCGATGAACTAAGTAGTCTTGATGAATCGTTACATCCAGGAACGGAACAACCTGGCAAATAAAAGACAAGTTTAAGACACTTGGTTATCATTTAAGCACAGAATATAGGATGCAGTGATCAGTAAATGTGTGCAGTGATCAGTAAATGTGTACAGTGATCCCTCGGTTAACGAATTACCTTCCATAAGATTCTTAACTTCGGTTAACGAGCATTCCCTCGATTAACGAATTCCTTACGAGGGCCCCTCCACATGTTTTCGCTTGCACACTAGCTGTCATATTAGTCTGCCAATACAGTAATCGGTTCTAGGGCTTAAAATCCTTACTATTTTAGTAAATATCAAGAAGTTTGTACTATTCAATAATTTTAAGTCTTATATTAAAATTTTTAGTCATTTTAACAATTATTTAACATAATTTAAGTACAGGGAAACTAGTTTTTAGTGCACCAAACAGCCTGTCAACAGACCATACAGGCGTCAGTCTGTGTCTTTTCAGTGGAGGTAACGTCTTGCTTGAGACACTGTTCAACATAAACGCTTTTTTTCTGTGTTTCCAGTCAAATTATTGGTCATTTTGAAATTTATTTTACATATTGACAATATATAATGCAGTGCAGTGTTGATTTAAAGAAAATAATCTTTAATTACACCAAGTGAACTAAAATTTTATGGGTGAAATGGCACCAGAATGCCTTCTCTTCCACCCGAATGCCTTCTCTTCTCCCTTCTCCTCCACCCCCATTCTAATTCCCATCATCATCATCATCATCATCATCATCCAGGAGCCTTCTACATACACACCTCAAAGTAAGTGTACTTAACTACCTTTTTTGTTGACTTTAGGCAATTTTCGGTGAGCTGGAACCAATTACCAAAAAACCCGTTGAAACAATGGTTTCGGTTAAAGAGCAACCTTCTAGAACGAATTTTGCTCGTTAACCGAGGAACCACTGTACTTAAGCCATGATGACATACTCATACTGGATAAGAAGTATGAGTGAGAGATTACTGTATGTGTAGTACTTTGACAGATGCGCACACACAAATACCCTCCATCCCCAATGAGGTTATGGGACACTCAACCTCCTACTACCCAGGTAGGTCATTTACTCCATCCCCTGATAAGATATTCAATTAAGAAAATATTTTTAATTTTTACCCTTGTGTCTTTGGAGTGCTATCATAAATAAATAAAAAAAATCAAATTAAATTTTAATTTCAAGTTGTAAAATCAAGGAGAATCTTGAGTGCTAATATTTCTTCACAACAAACACATCATCATGTACTGTACAGTCACAAACAACAGTCCTCTTGCCTCTCCTGCTGCTTCATGAACCGAGATTCAGACTTGTGAATCCAAAGCATTCATTTGACAGCATAATGATGCATCAGTGTCTACTTCTTCAGGTTCAAGAGTCTAAATCTCAGTGTTCGTAGAGCAGAAGAAAAGGCGATAGAAAAAGTAACCAATTTTTAACTTTTGAAGGTATGTGGTTACTTTGTTCTCTCATACTACTACCATCCACATTTTCTACAACTTCCACTAAACCACCATAATCATTATTGTCACAAGCCACAATAAAAATTTGAGATGTATATTCAATTCAGGATTATTATAATTAAAAAAAATTATCCTTAATTAAACATCCACAATCATGACAACAGATACAATTAATGCTTGAACTATAACCGTGACCTACAGTGGAAATGACTAACCCGCCATAAAGCCTTGACAGTGTTTTGAAGGCCATCACCAATAAAACTATTTTAACCTTTAAGAAATGTTTGGGTTAGGTGAACAGCTAAACAACTAAGACCAGTCAGAATGACCTCAAATTTCCTGATACAATGTTGACAACTAATTTTGTCAAAACTTGAGAGACATAACTTTAGAATAATATACCAATACATGTTTTGCCCAAACCATGAAGAAGCCACAGCCAACTGGTTACACAGTACAAAATAGTCATACACCTGCACTAGTAATAACCAGTTTCTGAAACTGATATGAAATTTGTCCTCTGAGTGGAGGAAACACAAACTAATACTGCCTTACATCAGCTAATTGCTTGAGTCCAGATATATTTTGTGCCGTTTTTTTCAACTTGTCGACGCCAACACAGCCAATTTGTATCTCAGGTGCTGCTGCTCTCAGTGCCTTGTTAGTATTGTCAATATCTTGCACAAGTGGGACCAAAAGAGTGGCAGACATCCAAATCCGCAAATTCTCTGTAAACTGTAACCAAAGATATTTTTATCTTGAGATATATATTACAGAGTTATGATGAAACAATAGATAAAGGAAAATTACTGTATATAAATTTGCAGATGTAATAGATTGCTAAAAGCTATGAAGCAACTGTCAATAAGTGGGAAAAAAGGGAATAATTTAGAATACAAGTTTGGTCTTCCTTCCTTCTACTAAATGTACTGTAACAGGTGTAAGATCCTCGACAATGATCTCACCTGGAAGAGTTGTTCTGGGGTGACGTTCCTCTTGTGCCATATTTTGCTGACGCTGCTGCTGCACAGTGTTGAGGTTTTGGAGTCATCACTCTTGCTGTCTGCTGAATTTGTCTCCTGACCTAACGACCAGTACAAACATCAGTCAATATATCCAATGTATAACAAAATCACTCATATATGGTAAATACTCTCGAGAACATTCATAAGACAAAATATTATTTAAAGATGTGAATCGTAGAGCATCACAAGACCCAAGTGACTAAGGAAGTGACAAGTGAAATTAAGGGCATTCTATGAACTCTTTACCTATAACAAAAGAGAAATGAGCAAAAAATTGGGTAAAGGTTAGCAAATGATGGAATGACAAGAGCAACACTCAGGAGTACGATAATGAAGATGTGAAAGTTAAAAAAAATTCTTAAACGAATAAAATCAAGAACTTCTCTTGGGCCAGGTCAGTGTATGCTGGTCAAAAAGTCTCCTCAGTAACTTGTTCCCAATTTTTACAAGCCCTCTGCTACTACACTGCAGGTTAACTTAAGAAGTGAAGGAAGCCAATTTACCCATGTCTTTGGTGGCAGCCTGGTAGACATTCTTGCGGAGGATGTTGCCATGATCAGAGAGTTGAGAGTGTGGTGAAGTTCCATAGGCCCACAGAGAGCTGTTCATGCTGTTGTTGCCCTCTGACTGTGACACTGCAGCAGAATAAGCCAATAAACTTCACAAAAAACATAACTATATAAGCAATTCGTATCAGTATACCCTCTGTATACTGTACATGTTAGTTAAGGAATAGTTATTAATGAAATAGAGTGCAAAGATAAGTTGAGGATAAGAGCGACCACTCATAAAGTATTTCTGCTTATTATATTAACACTTTACTGTTGCTTACTACACTTATCTTACATTCCTCTCTACCATTTCCCCCTTTCTACAGGTTTGTGTATTTTCTGAAGTCACTCTACACAAAACAGAAGAATAGAGTTAATAAGTAGAATTAAGAATAATTTTTCACCTGGGAAACTTGTTGATTTTCTAGAATATCAGATAGAAATTTCTTAGTCTATTAACTTAAAGGTTCTATATTTCTAGAGCTCATATTCAGCAGGTCAAAAGATACAAATCTTTCATGCCAATACAGTACTGTACTTACTTATCTGTCGCAGCTTTTCCCGTTCCTTGTACTGTTGTAAATAGTCCTGTAAACCAGCTTCACCACTAATGGGAGGACCATAAGCAGCAGGGGACACCGGACTATTGGGACTGCTGCTTACACGGTGAGCCAGCAGAGAGTCAGATAGTTGGGATGGTGAGAATGAATGCTGCTGTGGACTCTGGAATTTGTACCAATTATGTATAAAACTATTGCACAGGGATTACAGCCGAGTTGGTCTACCTGCCATAAATATAATTATATTACTTACTGGCTGTGTTAATTCTCCACATTTTTATCTTTTTTTTCAGGGCACCCTGAGCTGTTAGAAGTTGCGGCCCTGCCTTACCAGCTGAGAGGGAGCTTGAAAGTCCTACCTATAATGCCTATTTCCCATGGTAAAAGTTGGTTGATGATTGAAGGGCATCAGAACCTATGACCCTTCAGGCTTTTATGCCCTTAATGTACGAGTCATAAAGGCAAGTATGAACTTTTCATACTTCCCTGTTGGGCGCTGTAAATGCTTCTGCGCTTCACCTTGCACAGGATGTAAGGGGGTGCCCAATAAACTAGCCCCCTCGGGGGCAAATCTGAAATCTGAATTGAAGGGCATGAAGCTAAAAAAAATTGCTTAAAATTTACTTGATGGTAACTGGGGCACCATATCATCAAGTAATCAAGGCCAACTCATGAAAGCAGGGCTGTGGAGTCGGAGTCGAGGAGTCGGAGGAAATTTCGGCTTGTGGAGTCGGAGTCGGTAAAATTGTCCAGACTCCGACTCCGACTGAAGCTATTCTGTTCCTAAGAACAAATATATGAACTCAGGCATATTCATTGCAGTGATTCCACTGATCCCACTAATTTTCTTAAATTATTAAAAGAATTTATTTCCATTTTATAAGCATTATTATGAATTTATTGTAGCAGGCACAGTATAGCACTATAATTTTGGACGATAGTCTCTTCTTTACCATTTGAAATTTTGAATTATATCAAATTTTGTTTCGTTGAAAACTGCACAGAGGCTCTCAGCTACAAAACAATTAGCTACAACCTGTTTTTGGTGAGATTAAGGCAAATTTAATTTAATAACTTAATCATGTAAGGTTTATCCATTTTCCTTAATAAGGTATTCATTTCTTTAATGTACATAAATATATAACTTTACTTTAAAAGGAATTGTAGGATCATCATTTAGATCCACATCAGATTATGAGCTTAAACAAAATTCATATGCTGAGATCGAACTTTTAGATATACATGTAAATGGTGTTTTCTAGTTAATATCTTGAATTCTTAATAAATTTATTTTTCTTTTGATTGAAACTTTGAAAGTCAAGCCTATCATCTTTTTGTAGTTCTTAAATATCGTCCAGATCATTAATAAAGCTGTAGCAGTATAGCCACGGTGTTTTACTTTTTACCTATGCAGGTTACAACATACAAATTACAATTAGGATGGTAGAAATAGTTGTTACAAATAGGCCAAGGAGTCGGAGTCGGAAGCATAAAAATTTGAGGAGTCGGAGTCGAAGGTTTTGTCTTCGACTCCACAGCCCTGCATGAAAGTGTGATAAATGGCTGTGAAATGGTGATGGTAGAATTTTTGCTAAAAATATATTAACCAACATTTCACATTTGGTTTACATAAATTTACCAACTCATCATGAATTATTTCTTATCATAGATATAAGCACTACACAACAAATATCAATAACATTTAAAATGATGCTAACTGACCTTCTTTAGGATATATTTTTTCTTCAAAATATAACAATAACCAATTTAAAAGAAAATTGTCAGTCTTGTGCCTGGTTCAAGTAGCTAAATAATTTGTCAAAGTAGACAGGACTGATGACATAAACATTTGTGCATTTTCAGATTACCAATACTGTATGCAAAATTTCATTATATGAAATACAAATAGTAATTTATATAGGTATGAAAATATTATAAGTCACACCAATGTTATTATGAAATAATATAGAAATCATTCTTAATAAAGAGTTAATTCCAGGCAATATTAAGGTAACAGAGAACTTCTTAGTCATACATTAAGTAATTCAGTTATAATGTATAATCAACTTCAGACCAATTTATGAGCACAGTACAGGGTATTATTATTATCATCATTATTACACCAGTATGCACTTTAAGCTGTTTAAATTTACTGAAATGATAGAAGGGGTTTACCTGTCTTTCTCTAGAAAAGAGTGAAGAGGTTTACCTGTACTTATAAAAAGGAGAGTGAAAGGGTTTACCTGTCCTTATCTAGAAAAGAGTGAAGGGGTTTACAAGCCAACTTAAAGGTTTTAAGCACATGGGCCTGGCATCACTTGAGACAGGTTGAGTGAAAAGGGCACAGGTATTATCTCACACTATTTGCTTGGATGTCTGACAACCACCTAGGTCTTTATATCATGTGGGGATATACATAGTTGTACTTTTGATACTGGCTCAAGCTGGATATCAATCACATACTGCCTCCTCAAAAGAGTATAGTACTGTACAGTATATATGAAACAATATGTGGTGAAAATAATTCTTAATTTCACTAACTGTCATAATATTGTAGGATGAACTTAGTATGGATGACTGGTTACGGTGGAAGGCCCAGGAGTTGGCTGTAACAGATCCACCGCTGCTGCTAGTTAAGCTGAAGTTCAGACCTGCGACTGAAAATAACATGACATGGTAAGAACACTAAATGCTTTTTTCTTAAAAAATTTCCATACAGCATTATAGCCATTGCACAACTTAAATCCCCCACCAACTCTTTCAAGTCTTTCCAACTATTCAAGAAGGCCAGAACAAAGAACATTTACACCAACCCACTGCTGATTTTCCATTTAAAAATTACATCTATTATGGTGTATATCTAGTTTATGTATTGTATTAATATTTTCCGCTTGGATGGTAACCAGTCATGAATATATTGAACGAACCATACTTTTTAAAGGGCCCTTTACTAAGTCTACCTATACAAAATCACACTGTGGCTGGAGTATTTCCAGACCATTCAACCATCCTCCTACACATTGTATAGAAAATGCCATTATAATAATTAGTGAAAAAGTGAACTTACCTGGACTGCTGACAGAGGAACCTGGACTTTGTAAAGGTGAGGGGGAGGCACTCTGACAGGACAGGTTACCCCATGAGCTGTGAGACATATTAACTGGGGTGACAGCTCCTGGGGGGCTCATGGGTGATGAGCTTCGTAATGTGGCATTGAACAGAGATGAGAAAGAAACAGATTTGTCAGCAACTGGTGTGGAATTAGTCTTCTTTGGAGTTGCTGGCTTAAATCCTATATCTGCAAGAGGTACAAAAGCCTTAGAGTAAATCACAAAAAGTAACTAAATATGGTACAGCATAATCATTAACACATGACATACACGAGTAAAAACTTAATAGTTCAGGTTACAATGTCTAGGAATAATGGAAGTCTTGGAGCCTGTCAGATGCACTCAGTAAATTTCTTGTATAATTCCAAATACTTAAATATATTCAGACCTTTAATCACCTAATGACAAACACATGGTTCATCTGAACCGGTTTAGAAAAATTGGGGATAGTTTGGACAATTTTGAGTGATCCAACAAATTTAACTGAGATATTGGTCATCTAACTGGTTGTAAGGGGTAAATTCCTTCACCACCATCCAAGATAAAGTAATCTGTTAGCCGGAATCCCTCAAACCCAGAAATCTCCGATAACCGGGACTGAAATTTTCTCAGAAAATCATTCCCAAAGCTGAAATTTTCTGGAAATTCTGACTTTGGGATTGATTTTCCGAGGGACACATTTTTCGGAAAATTCTGAGAAAATTTTCCCGGTACAGGTGCTCCTCTACTTAAGAATGTTCAACTTACAAACTTTCAGAGATACAGAAATAATCACTGAGGGGGGTTACCTGCCAGAACAGGTGTTTAATGTGGATGAGACTGGATTATTTTGAAGAAAATTCCAGATAGAACAAAAATTACCTAAGAGAAGAGTGAGCGAGCCAGGTTTTAAAGCTGTATTAAAGGGTATAGCTGTACTAAATATCCATAATCTTTTCATTTTTTTTACAATATGTTTGGTATCTACAAGAGTAAAGTTGGACTTGCAAACTTGTTCGTAAGTAGAGGAGCACCTGTATCCGGAAAATTCTGGGGATGGGGGAATTTTTTCCGGGTTTGAGAGATGAAAATCATGTTTGAGTAATGATGTAATGAGCAATTTCTGGAACTTGAGAAAATTTTTCCGTTACCCGGAAAATTCCGGTGATGAGGGATTTTTTCTGGCTTTGAGCGAGTCGCTTCGTTACCTAGAAATCTCTCATCCCCGGAAATGTTCTGCACCAATTGTTCCGGCTAACAGGGATATCACTGTACTTATGTTCTTGGCAATTTACAGAGCCTTTATTCTCCACATATTCTCTTCATCAAGCCTTTATAATGATTTTACAGCACTTAATAAAGTAAAAATATTAATGAAAATCTGACATGGGCAAATGAGAGTGATGTATGCAGAACACACCCCAACACAAGATTGAGGGCTACTGTTTGGCCTCCTGAATCATACTCTATCCATGAAACCCCTGAACACTGCCAGTCACATGTGTTAGTAACCCCATTTGACCTGTTTTCAATGGCCTAAAGTGTTTAGCTGATATTGGCATCTCCTGTAGCTCAATACATGTAAGATACTGTATTCATAATTTGCTAGTAAAGGTTTCTTGCACCCCCTTGGTTACCATACACATCTGAAATTGTCTGGATATTAAACATCTGTATAGTATTTTTTAATGTTATACTGTACTCAGTGGTCTGTGAGCAAAAATTCAGGCCCCTGAATGCATTCCCTTTTCCCCTATAAGTTATCAATTTCTATTTCCGCAGATTCAACATCTATGGCATCCTCCAGGGATGAACTTCACATGAAAATTGAGGATTTACTGTATTTGGAATGGGAAGTTGTACACTGAACCACCTTAAATTCCAAGAAGAAAAGAGCATCTAATATAGGCATACATAACGAATGACATTGAAGGTACAACATTAATGTAATTCATTATCACCAATAAGACCAATTCACAAAATTATGGCAACATGCACACACACATATAATGTACTGGTACCTGTTTCATGAATTGAGAGGAGGGATCGTTGTTTATCGTTCACTTCTATGGCATTGAGAGTGAAAAAATTTACCGCATAGCTCAACAGGAGCTTGACCAAAATGAGGGTGGATATGAAACAGAGGACCAGACAAGTCCACCACCATAGCTTGCTCCTCCCACTAACATTACCGCTGTGCTTCCTGTGGGCAACAATCCTTGTACAGTAATTGCAGGTAAATAATACATTTAGTATATTGTATGTGTAAAATTTTATCACTATGGCATTATTGTGTGGATGAGCCTAATAAAGCTCTACTAAACCGACGTTAAAGATTTTCCATACACACTCGGACAAAAGGAATGACTGAAACTGCAGGATTAAAAGTGAACTTACAGGTCGTGCACTAATATGGCAATGAATAAGACGATGAACACAGCCCACTTCTTGCATGATGTGATGGTCTGGCCTGCAGATTTACGTGAGAGGACCTCCCGAACTAGAGTAGACACCTGTGCCATCCCTCCACCAAGTAGCTAACTGTCCAGTACAGTAATTACACCTGAAAAATATAGTCTTCAACTACTGGTACCAAATAAATTAAGGAAATTAAGATAACCATATACTAATACAGTTCTGTACTGTGCTTTACTCGCATATAATTGCCAATAAACATTACACGGGTTACATTTCTGGAGAATGGCTGAATGTGGAATCCACAGAAATGAAAGTTACAGAAATAACTTACAGGATAAAAGAGGATGTGGTGAAGCCCACTAAAAACCAATAATAAAATCCTAATTCTCCAAATGTAATATATTGTGAGAACCTGGATCATGTGTCAAGCATACACCCGAGACTAAATACCACAATCCTGGCCTGGATAACAAGCCTTGATTGACTGGCTGCCCTACCAGAACTTTGTTTGGACAAAGACATTTTGAAATTATCTGCCAAGTTTTGCAAGGTGTTATCCTCTGGCCTAAAATATGAAGGTGATATCTCAGTTTGCCCGAGTAAAAAGTGGGTAAGGAAGCATTTGGTCCTGAATAATGTGAAAAAAGTTAAAATGTTCATCTGGCTACAACCATCAATACCAACATGCCACTGTCCAACTCTATAGCATTAGTGTGGCTTGTAGTGGGATAAAATACTGTATTTTATATATAGCAGGAAGAGGGGGAGCTACTGTACATAAAAAGTTGTACAGGTATAACATATATATGGTACCAGGTATTTACACGGTACAGTTCACACAATTTTGATAAATTTTCATATTAAGCCTCAATGATTTACTGGGGACCTACCTGACCTTAAGTATTTATTTAGTCTTAAATATATTTTTCTTTAATTACAGTATTGCACTTACAGCAACCGCTACATTACATGATTTATATAAGATGAACCATTCTGTGAGTGCTTGTACAGGTATGTATGGAAATTTGGCCGACAGTGTTTGAATGTCAAGAACATATCAGGCAAAACAATGGCATTGGATGGGCATGGCAGACGGTATTAGAATTTTTGCAGGAAGAAAAAACCGGAAAACAAAAATACGAATACGGAATTATAATTCCTCCACTTACTTTGTGGTTTTCAGAGGTAAGGAAGAAGTTAGCTTCCATATAATATTAGTCAAAAGCAGGTTAAGTCTACAAGTCATAAAATATTACGGAGATTTGCTAAAATTGGTTGCTGGAAAATTTAAAATGGTTTAATCATAAGGTTAAGTTTCTGTTGTCTGTTTTAAAAGAACTGTTGGGTAAATAATAAATATAAAATACAGTACATAGCTTACTGTATAAACAAATCTCATTACTTTGTCTCTCTTGATAAAGAAATTGCTTTCATCACGCTGCCGCTCACTCGAAATAGGTTAGAGTATGTTAGGTTTCTCAAGAATCTTTCAATTCTCAGCCATCGCCTGAGACAAGATATGTCCGTATAATTAGCCTCTGTAAAATAAAATTAGGGCACTATTTAGCACCAACTTGACAAAATTTCTCCACAGAAGATAAAACAAGAAATATTTTATTTTATATGGAGAAATTTCCTCAAGTTGGTGCAAAGGCTGGACCACTCAAGTACAGTATTGTATTACTCTAACAAAATTAGTAATTTCAGTTCTGATACCAGCTCCATAAACTATACGTCCATTCCAGGAACAATATATACACTATTGATCTAAACAAGACTGGCAAGGGATATTAATTTTCTACAGGAAAAAAAGTCAATTTACAGTAGTGCACCGTTCTTTCTTTGGGTATTAGACATGTGTAAATAAAACCATAGAAAGTCGGCCAAAACCCACCAAACCTAACCTAATCAGGGGGACCAGGGAGACTCTGCCCCCTAATTAGGTTAGGTTAGGTTAGATAGAACGGTGCACTAATAAAAAACATCAATTGCACAGCTTGATATTATCAACCAATGAAAACTACCAAATCTAGCAATTACAAGACTATTAACGACTATAATTCACAGTGTTCCGAGCAAAATTATCGTTTCAGTCATCCCTGTATTTTGATATCCAACCTAACCTAACAAACATAATTTCAACCTAACCCATATCCTAAAATTCGCCACATGCCTAAAACGATAATAATACTGTGTTCCGTAATAATGTGAATCAACGGCCCAGAGAAAAACTTAAATCTTATCAGTGGAAGAAAAGACATTTTAGTACCTACTAACTTGTCCATCACATTTATGCTCGTTTATACCCATTTACCCCCTAAAATAAAATTGAGTACGTCAGAAATAGTTTACATATATCATAGAATATGCATAAATCTCATAAAAAAACAAGAAGTGTAAAATTCACGAAAAAAAAAACAAAATTAACGAGTCAGAGAGAAGCCTCACCTCCTCTCGCGTGGTAAACAAGTGACGTCACGATCTTCTTTTGAATCTTTTAAGGCAACAAAATATTTCCCGATTATATCCCGATTATATTTTGTTAATGGAAATACAGTATATTTATGTATATTATTTATTATTATTAAATTATTACAAGTACTGTATTTGAATGAGTAAATATTTAACTATTTTTATGGGAGCCACATTAAAACGTTATTTAGAAGTATTTTTTTTTTGGTTCATTAGAAGGGTGTCTTTGTAGTTTGCAACACATCTGAAACCTCTTTATGCAAGTCTTCCGAGCCCTTCACCCTTGCTTATGCTTTTCTTGCACCAAAACAAAGGTGTCACCCAAGGTTAGCCCCGTCTGGGTGAATGTCTGTTTTGTATGAGTCTTTTGCCACTCCACTTAGATGATTGGTTAAGGTTATTTTTATACCGTCAGCCGTCTTTTTGACAATCATGTGACTTGTAGCTGGTTAATCTAATAATGAAAACGGCTGGGGCTAATTTTCAGGTGAGTGAAACAAAGCATCACTGAAGTACTGTCTCTGACTTTCTATGAAATGAACCAGTGAATGATATAACTTTCAATGCTTCTCGGACCACTGTGTGAAAAAGTTAAATCCCGCAAATAAGTTGGTCGGTCTTATAAGAAGGGCTTTAACTTAATGTGAGGTGCTTCCCCGTTTGGAGTATTGTAACTCCGTCTAGTCCCCGAGGACCTAGATATGCTAGAGACTGTCAGTTGATTGAAAATGTCTTGAGGAATGCCATCAGACTGGTGTCTGCAATACGGCACCTCAATTATCCAGAAATTAGAACAGCTGCAGCTGCCTAGCTTACACTATAGACGGGCAAGGGGAGAATTAATGGTACACCACGATGATGTCGGAAAACCAGGTTTTTAAAGAGAGATCGATTGTAAGAGTGTGGAAACTCAGAAGAAGGCAGAGCATTCCACAGTTTGGCTTTGTGAGGAAAGAAGGGTGTACTATAACGGGTTATTCTAGTGTGACCGACATGCACAGAGAAATGGTGGGCACCGAGGGCAAGATAAGCCCACGGCCTTTCGGCGGTACACAGGATGGCAAATCCACCGAGCATTGCCCGTTAAAGTACCCGTATAAGAGAAAGAGTGAAGCAACATTGCGGCGAAGAGAAAGGGAAGAAAGATTGCCAACTAAAGGAGGAGAGTTAATAAGACGACATGCCTTTGATTCAAGCCGATCTAACAGTTGGACAGAAGAAGAGCCACCCCAGATATGAGAGCAGTACTCCAAGTTGGACGAATGAATCCCTTATATGCTTGAAGCAACTGCTCAGGAGTGAAGTAGCTACGGCATCTGTCTTGAGGTCACATACAGATTTCCTCCTGTACTGAACTGACACTGGACAATGCCGGTTGTAAGAAAGACTAGACCGACAGTAAGAACAGTCAGTAAACTTAAAGTGATATACATAATAGACTAAAAAAATTAATGAAATTGAAATGCTGAAGAAAGTGGAGTCAGTTATATTATAGTAGTATCCCACTTAAATATTACATTTTCATTACTATCGAGAAAATGTTGAAGGGCAAACTTAAGTAACATTTTGGCAACCAGTTGAATTTATCATTTGTACCACTTTTTAGCTCATTAATCATTCGGGCGGTCGTCGTGTTCTTTTATTGCTTATATTACGACCCTCAGTGGCCAGTCTTAAAAGGATAGTACTTGTAGATGGATATAGATGATGGTGCTTGTGGATGGATATAGATGATAGTACTTGTAGATGGATATAGATGATGGTGCTTGTGGATGGATATAGATGATGGTACTTGTGGATGGATATAGATGATGGTACTTGTGGATGGATATAGATGATGGTACTTGTGGATGGATATAGATGATAGTACTTGTAGATGGATATAGATGATTGTACTTGTAGATGGATATAGATGATAGTACTTGTAGATGGATATAGATGATGGTACTTGTGGATGGATATAGATGATGGTACTTGTGGATGGATATAGATGATGGTACTTGTGGATGGATATAGATGATGGTACTTGTAGATGGATATAGATGATGGTACTTGTGGATGGATATAGATGATGGTACTTGTGGATGGATATAGATGATAGTACTTGTAGATGGATATAGATGATAGTACTTGTAGATGAATATAGATGATAGTACTTGTAGATGGATATAGATGATGGTACTTGTGGATGGATATAGATGATGGTACTTGTGGATGGATATAGATGATGGTACTTGTGGATGGATATAGATGATAGTACTTGTAGATGGATATAGATGATAGTACTTGTAGATGAATATAGATAATAGTACTTGTAGATGGATATAGATGATAGTACTTGTAGATGGATATAGATGATGGTACTTGTGGATGGATATAGATGATAGTACTTGTGGATGGATATAGATGATAGTACTTGTAGATGGATATAGATGATGGTACTTGTAGATGGATATAGATGATGGTACTTGTGGATGGATATAGATGATGGTACTTGTGGATGGATATAGATGATGGTACTTGTGGATGGATATAGATGATGGTACTTGTGGATGGATATAGATGATGGTACTTGTGGATGGATATAGATGATGGTACTTGTGGATGGATATAGATGATAGTACTTGTAGATGGATATAGATGATAGTACTTGTAGATGAATATAGATGATAGTACTTGTAGATGGATATAGATGATGGTACTTGTGGATGGATATAGATGATGGTACTTGTGGATGGATATAGATGATGGTACTTGTGGATGGATATAGATGATAGTACTTGTAGATGGATATAGATGATAGTACTTGTAGATGAATATAGATAATAGTACTTGTAGATGGATATAGATGATAGTACTTGTAGATGGATATAGATGATGGTACTTGTAGATGGATATAGATGATGGTACTTGTGGATGAATATAGATGATAGTACTTGTAGATGAATATAGATGATAGTACTTGTAGATGGATATAGATGATGGTACTTGTGGATGGATATAGATGATGGTACTTGTGGATGGATATAGATGATAGTACTTGTAGATGAATATAGATGATAGTACTTGTAGATGGATATAGATGATTACTTGTAGATGGTTATACTGATAATAAAGTAAGTCAAATACATTTCCGGGAGAACTTTATCATTCGAGCTGAAAGTTTTTTGTATAACATTCTATGACATTATTGTATTGAGCCCTGGAATAACTCTAAATTGGGCTAAATTTTGTATTTAAAGTTTCAGTACTGTAATATCATTTATAAATACCACAAGACTGGTGATAACCCCAGAGCCGGAAGAACGTCTACTCGTAGTTCATTTTGCTATTTCTCCAAGAAATTATTAATTATCGTATTTATTGAATAAATATGAATTTGCAGAATAAATAGTCAGCTTTATAGTGGTACAACAAAAATTTAAATACCTCAATTTGGGTTCGTTCTACGTGTATTTGAACAATATTATCATACGTACTGAGCGGACAACATATTTATCTAAATATACCCGGTCTTTAAGGGTTAAAGGAAATTCTAATAACATTGAGATAGATGTTTAACAACTATTTTCCATTGATAATATGATTGTACTACACTGACTAAATTCCTCCGTCAATCAGTAATAAGTTTAAGTGACAGAAACCAATGAATGAATTTAAATAATGGACCATCAGTGGCGGCTCGTGCAGAGGGCTGCAGTCCCCCCAGACACTCACTGCCAGGCGTATGATTCCTTTAGAGAGACAGCTGAATAATACACTACCAACAAATATATCATTTTATATGTTATTTAATTATTTTCAATACGTTGCTAAGTGAATTTTCATTAAAATCAGACCAAAATTTATGTTACTTTCATAGTTGCTGTCAATGCTGTACGATTCATGTCTGTTATTAATTGGCGCCGCCGCCGCCGCCGCACTTGAAGCAGCTCAGTCTCGTACAACGTGTGGATGGTGTGGTTAAATCGTGCTTTCTTTAATTACCCTTTGACGATGGAAAATCGAGTGAAGTATTTGCAAAACATCAACTTTTCCCAGCTGACATTAAATGAAAAGACTGAAATCAAAGCAAGAGGAAGACCTACACCAGTTTTATCCATTCAACAGAACAGTACAAGCAGGAACAAAGAATATACACGCCAGTTTAACATGAGTGTTTATCAGAATGACAGACTGTCTGCTTTAGCAGTGATATCCATTGAAAATAAAATGATAACAGAAATAAAGGATTTTAATGAAATAGTAATAAACAATTTTGCTACATCGAAGAGCAGACACGCCGACTTTATTTTCAATTAATACTGGTCCATCACCACCAACACTACTACCATGCCCTGGGAATTAGTGGACATCAACTACAACTCATACCTGAGGTAGGTCACCTACTGTTGTGTGAGGCTTGCAGTCCCTCCATTTTATTTTTCACGAGCCGCCACTGGACCATACCGTAAAGTAAACAATGATTTTATGAATGACTTTATATGACGGCTGGAGATACGAGTCTCGATAGTGAAATCTGAATTTAAAATGTGGTAGTGAATTTTTTTAAAGACGAAATTTACCTGATAAACGTGTTGAATTAATATATTGTAATTAGTATTTCATAAACGGGGTTTTAAATATAAAAATATAAATGACAAATTGTTTTCACGTAACAGTTAAAAAAGTTAATTAAAAACAGTACTTTCCCTTTAAACTTTAGTGACCCTTTTATTGGAAAATTTGGCTTTTGTGTTTTAAAGAGCGTTAATTGATTTTAGACTTTTATATCCAAACAATTTAAACAACTGCTTATAAGGCTTTTCGCGCCAAAGTTTAAAGTTTAGTTATAATAAGTTTTATTTCTTACTAGAGTTTAAAGAATGTTGTACGAGACATTAATTTTGCATTACAGTTTAGAGAACCTTGTTATGGCTAGACAACATTATGGCACCAAAATTTAAAGGGGATTATTTGAATCATTATTGTTTTACTTCACAGGTTAAATTGAAGATTTTCAG